AATACTCATAACATCAATATAATAGTTGTTGATTCAAGTATTCATACAAGATTCAACAGTTAGTCTCAAATGATGTGGGACAGACGAAATCCAATTTCAGATACATGTACATGTACATGTACCTCTAACTTTTCTGAGAAAGTCAATATGTCTGCAAACGTAAATAAATATAATATATTATTCCTTATAAGTCGTAGTATAGGCCAAAATAGTTAATGCAATTTTTAATTTTTAAACTTACCGTCTGCTCTGAGTCCTTGAAAGATCAACAGCAAAAATAGATATTGAAAATGTGCAGTCCTCAAAAAGCGAGTCATGTTGGTGATTGGCGTGATTGCGCTCTTCTTTTTCATTGTAGCTTAAGAGATCTGTTTGAAGGCATCACATTTTGTCTCGTCCAATAAAATTTATTTGTGACACATACGAAATATCTATATAAGTTCCAGACTTCATTAGTTGAACATGGTGAATACCACATTGACAATGCTGCTTCGATATAATAAACAGTTATAAAAGGTTGTAAAAATAACTGAAAAATAGGAAATTGTTTTTGGTTGAACGGGTGAATTATATAATAACATTTAAATGGTATTGCGTAGACTATTATTTTAGAATATATTGATCAGTCTTCCCAGGGATTATACAACTCGTTTCAATTAGAAAATAAAGATTAATAAAAATTTAAAAGTCAAATCACCTAAAAGAGATTCTGTTATGTTTGAGTTAAATTATTAAAACCTGAGAATACATTTGGCTTTAACTGCCAAGCCCAATATCTACTATTATAAGTATTTAGATGGAGAAAATTATAAGCTTGGGAAACCCGAAATTATTGCCTCTCAGTTTAAAGGCCCACTTTGCAAATTTTTGGGCAAAATAAAGACTTTTATTTGAATTCTATTAGAATGTCCAATGTATTGATAAGAACCCTATCTTTCATTTGACATCAACAACAGCTCAAACGGACCACACAAAGCTTACAATTAAATCGATCAAAAAATATTTTCGATCTGTCAAGCTTTATATATCAAGTTTTTATCAATGTCATTGAAAGACGGCGAAGGTGTTTGTATTACATGATAAATACTTTTTTTAAGTGTCGCCATCTTTTAAGTCAAAAGTAATTAAAAACAAGCACTTTGTTTAGCATGTGCATGCATGTCTAATGATCTCTGAACTTCAAATGTTTTTTTCAATGTGAAATATTTTTTCTTGGTCCAATAATATTAAAGTGCCTGATAAACTATAAAATGCGCATGCGTCCAGGTGTTGATAAACTATAAATAGCGAAAACCCAGGGTTTGTCATCACAAGGTAAGCCAAGACGTGTTGAGCGAACATCTAGTGTTGATATTGAATTTACATGTAGCCAGATAAGTTTCCTTATTGAAATTACATATAGTTATTAGCAATACTTTGTAGGTGATAATTAATAAAATATGAGTACATATGAGAGAAATTGGCCATTTCGAACCTGTTGAAAGTTTGTGGCTCTCGGCTACACCGGGGAATTTACTTCCATGAGTACAGACACAAATGTGGGGCTCCCCAAGAGGTACGCGAGAAGGTGACCTGGCATCAAATGTACGACTAAATGCTTCTGTCGAGTAGATAAAAGAACGAATACGACAATAAGTTATTGCAAACGACAATTCCGAGCATTCATCTCACTGAAGTATTTTGAAGTGAAGAAAATATGATTTTTGATTTGAAACATGGATTCAGATGAACGTAACTTCATTCTGACAACTAATCAAAACTGAACAAAATTGATTATACGTAACAGACGATTTATTGTTTTACAATGTTTTGATCGGCTAAACGAATGAAACCAAGAAATTATGACATTTAAATGGCAATTTTGAAATGTAAAATTTAAAAGTGACAAACACAACCTTCCTATCCACTCTTTACGAGCCCTAATATGTACATGCAGCAGTGGTAGTGTACAGCTTATTATCACACTACCGGGCTTTGTATTCTAAAGCTTGTTGTTTTTAATAACACTGTTCACTCGACGTAAATGTTTTGTGTGTGCGCAGTCAACGATGATCATTTTTTTATCCCGGTTATATGACCTCGGCAATTATAACAAAACCGTACTAAACGAAAAAACGCAAATAAGAGAAAGCTTTCACACACATGTAAAAAATGAACTAGTCTAATCCGCCAGTATAAACTCTGTTATATACGTAGCCAGGTTGGGCGCACACTTTAAAGAAAATCAAACTTTGTATCATATTTGAGCGAGTGTGTGAGTAACATGTTTCAATGATCATTTTTTCTTTTTTCTTCAACATTAAGTATAGTGGGGCTTTAAGTGTCACGCCTTTTTTGTTTAGGCAGCACAGCATATCTGAATGGCATCCGGTAAATGACAATTGGTATATAAATGTCATCCAAGTCTAATATAAATTACAATCCTAATGTTAAAGCTCTCATTGTCCCAGGCATTGAAGAAATTGAAATATATGACATTTTAAACTCTGCAACAATATACTATTTATTAAATTGATGATGGATATATATTCAAATATGCCAGTGTGTTGATCTCATCTAATCAGACTTGAACATTTTTAGAACATGGGTGTCAAAGAGGGTCTGACATTTTTAATCGAGTGGATCACCAGTGTGTAATGTAAAAATTTGCATAGATTCTCAAGGCAAATTCTTGACAATTTTGGAGAGGTTGTATTTGAAAAGGTATTAGCCGGCCCAAATTCATTTAACCTTCTATTATCTTCACTGACAACGTCGAAGTACAAAAGACGTTGGGTATTGTCTAACGATCTACTCTCTGACGGACAAAGGGGCCGAAGTTTAACCTGATTAGAATGTAAAAGGGGTCAAACCGCGAAGGTTCCGCCGGGTTTCGAACCCAGGACCTTCTGCGTGTTAGGCAGACGTGATAACCACTACACTACGGAACCGTTTTGACGAAGGCAATGAGAAAAATATTTTATTTATAGTGATGATTATATCTATATTGGTATTCAAACTTCTTAAACTTAAACTTCTCAACATCATATCCACTTTGTTTTTGATAAATAAGTTGCCAGAAATGGAGTTTACATGTACAACATAAATAATATCTAACAGTACCATTACATTAGGGAAATTTTAATAAAACTATAACTTTCTTGATTACATCATTACAGTAGGCCTTGTACACAATAGGTACACTTTAAGGCCAGGGTGCATTTTGGTATTTTTTGCAATTTTGGAAAGTAATAACCACTGAATATTCTAGTTAATATTCAAACATTCTGAAGCATTATCAACCCTCAATTAATAGTGTAGGTACACTAATGCATCTTTTGTGCAAGGATGAAAGATGTAGATGATGTGTGGAATGAGTTATGTTTATCTGAAAATAGCACATGGTCATGAAATTTCATCAAAGTGCACCCTGACCTTAAAATCATCATTCGAATCCCCATTGCAAATCAATATAAAATTTTAGCAAACTATAGATCTGAGATGTTTTTATATTAGAATTCAATCATTTTTGTAATAGGGAGATGAGCTGTATAATACATATACGTTTATCATTTTTGTGAATATGAATTACTAAATTGGATACAATAGACTAGATGCTAGTAGAAATAATCTTGATTTACACGTACGTCATTATACTCTGCACTGGGTTATGTTACATTTTCCAGAAACATGGGCGTTCACTTAAAAATGAGGATTTGGGCAAAGATGTATTGTTTTGCTCAAATCAACATTTTTAAAGTAAAAGCCCCTAATAATGTCGGATAAACAAAACATTGTCCAATGTAGAGCATATTATTATGTAGGAACACTATGCCGTAGTTGTTTTTCTGGTGGACACCCGGACAACCAGCTCCTTATCTCAGGCTCTTAGAAAAAATCAGCTCACTGAATAAAAAATACAAACACATCTAAAAATTGAAATACATGTATGCCACAGCTTGTATTCAAATCAACAAAGTATAGTTTGGTAATGAATTATAAAGTTTTCGACTCGTCAGATCTAAACACCTGCGTCAACGTTACCATATTTCAGTCACGGTGAAAGTGTTCCCAGTCAATACTAATAGTACACTGTCAGTTTCCATACTTAACCTACGATGACAATACTTATATATAATATTGATGGAAACGTAATGTGATTTTATTTCCAATACCTCCAAATTTTCTCAATTTTTTCCATCAATTACAATAGGTCGAAAATTGATGATAAATTTGATGATTTTTTTGAAAATCGTTATTCCCACGTTAACCAATGGGAAATGGTAGGTTTGCCGCAAGTCATATGACAGAATATCCATCCATCCGAGTCCTTGCAAAAATAAGAGTTCGGCAGGCAATTGAATTTGCTAACTTTATTTAACGAAAAATTGATATCGTCTCTTCAGGTTCAACAAAGTTATAGGGCTTTAAAGTCAAAATTGTTTTTCAAAAAACCTCTCCCATTGAAATAACACAGGAGGCGAAAAATTATTTCCAAAATGACTTTGAAGCGCTGTAACTTTAGTATTCATCAAATAAACTAAACACTTAGTGTACAAAAAAGTTAGACAATTCAATTTTCTATATGAAAATATTTTTGCTGAATCTTTTACTGAAAAGATATCCTGATTTCTGATTTGCCCCGAACCCTCCATTTCCCATTGGATTGGGAATGACGATTCTCACAAATTCATCAAATTTATCATCAATTTTCTACCTATTGTAATGGAAGAAGAAAATTTGGAGGTATTGGAAATAAAGAGTCAAGTTACGTTTCCATCAATATTTCATCGCCGGTTAAGTAAATAAAAATTCAAACGTAAAGAGGCTTTAACACGTAGTTCAATGGGGGAGCTCAGGGTCATCATATGATATATCATTCAAGTTTTACACAGATTCAAAAATCACTTTTTGATAAGTCATGATATTAAGATTTTAACATGTAAGTAAATGGCAGTCTTTCCCAAATTAAAAGCTGAATAAAAGATGGCAGCACTAGATTTCATTGTTTTTTCTGCTATTTAGAAACGATCCTATTAAAACATCCATTCATCAAAATATACCGATTGGGAACCATATTTAGACCGAGTCAAAAATGACAATGATACTTCCATATAAATATTCTGCATGCATATAACAATATCACTGGGGTAATGTTAACACTAATTATCAGTTGTTACTGAAATTGTATGCAACTTCATGTGTTCAATATTGTCCCTGCATTTAGTGTCTGTTTACATAGAAGCTATGCATACATGTCACGATCAGGCTGAAATTGAAATAAAAACAATTTTTTATACAGGATTCAATCGAATAGATCATCTCAGTCGGCTTCGCAAAACACCTTTGTTATCTTCAAATATATTAAACATAATTGCATCACTGTTTCTAATACAAGAGCATGATATTTACGATTATTAATTGATCTTACGTTGCAAATACAATCCAAGTGAAGCAGCAATTTTGTGCGATGCGTCAACCCTGATGTCATTTTCTTTTGAAGCACCCAATCATTTCCGCCGTTGGCGCCAACTATGATGCTATCCAACAGTTCTGGACTATCCCATACACGAAATATCACTTCCTGATGAGGAAAAGACGAGAATTGAAAAGTCGTTTTGTGTTAAACTAGGTACGGCGTCCATGACGTCAATAGTTTTCATTTCAAACCGAGGCTCAAGTTAATACAAACTAATTGGTCTTGTACTGAAATCGGGATATCAAAAATTGTAGGTTTCGCTCGATATCAAGGTATGAGATGACAATTGTAGACAATAAAAAACATTAAAATATTGATTGGGGAGAGTGGCGTAAGACGGAACGAAAATCTACACCTATCTTTGATAGGCTACTGTTCATTAAACATTGGTTTCCTTAAAAAGGTTTATAATATTTTACAATGCAGAGCTACTGAAAATGATTTTAAGATTAATTTAATTTATCTATACAGACTATTTCATATCAAAACCGACATTGGAATATAGACCTGACCCATTGGATGTTTTCTTTTTCTTGCTGTGTTCTGTCGCAATATTGGAACTTTCCTGTTGGCACTTGCGCTAACATACGAAAAATAGATCAGTTCAAAGCTGAATTTTTACCCTTTCCTCGCCTACATAATGAAACACTTCTGCATTTTCCGCTCCGGTTGTCCCTCTTATTACATACGCCACCAGCGCATGTCCCTTCCAAGCAGCCATGATTTCCTCGAAGGTTTTCCCTGCATACAAATATGTAAATTATTGGTTTATAAGTCCGTATGCAATCGACAAAACATGAATTCACATTAAATCGTGGTGATGTGGTATGCGTAATTGTTTTATTGTACTTTAGAGCACATGTGTAGATCGGGATATTGGGGTTTTGATTTCTTTAAGCCTGTACTCATAGATGTTTCTTTGCCATGCTGTACAATTTGATGATAGGGAGGTTAAGCTTGAAATGTTTTTGACAACCTTAACGTGAGCGGAAAATATTTAAGCGATGCATTTGTATGGGCGATTGGTCATACGTACATATGGGTCGGCACTTGTACTCATTCTACGTTTGACCGCTAATTTAGAGGGATATTGCGATAGGAAAGCACAATCAATTTTGCGAAAGGAAAATCATAAGTCATTATAAATATTGAAGTAAAAGTCATACCCGGTGGATAGTTCAGCTCTCGAAATACAGCTATTAAATGTTCACACTTTAATGACGCTCTTGGCATAACAGCATCTGTCATTTCTTGTGATACATTGAGACCAAGAGTAGAAATTGCAAAGTCATAATAGTCCATAATTGGTTGAACTTGACATGTGAATCGTTGGTCCTTTGTCATCAGTGCCTTCTCTAGATACCCTGCTCTTTCACAGCCATAAATAACATAGAGGCGATTCTCTGCAACTGCCTTTAATAAACAGTAATAATCTCAACTTGACAATTTAAACGTTGACAATTATTAAGCAAATCCAAACAGTTACTGCCTTTAATAAACAGTAATAATCTCAACTTGACCATCTAAACTTTGACAATTATTAAGCAAATCCAAACAGTTATTGCCTTTAATAAACAGTAATAATCTCAACTTGACCATCTAAACTTTGACAATTATTAAGCAAATCCAAACAGTTATTGCCTTTAATAAACAGTAATAATCTCAACTTGACCATCTAAACTTTGACAATTATTAAGCAAATCCAAACAGTTATTGCCTTTAATAAACAGTAATAATCTCAACTTGACCATCTAAACTTTGACAATTATTAAGCAAATCCAAACAGTTACTGCCTTTAATAAATAGTAATAATCTCAACTTGACAATTTAAACTTTGGCAATTATTAAGCAGCAAATCCATGCATAGCATGCAAAGGCCAACATTTTGAGAAAATGTGAAATGGGAAACTGTACAATATACACCCATTAAATCTAAGATGTGCTCCTAGTAATTTAGTATCTAAAATATATTCTTAGCATACTACTTCTTATAGCTACACAAAATGGTATTTGTTGATTATTTCATATTTTAATTTTTTTATTCTTTTTGACGTGACAAAACTCCTGCCCCCCCCCCTCCTACCCCAACCATCAACTTGATTTTATTATAATATCAACACATTTTTATCAATCGGCATGACACTCTGTAGAACAATCAGAATATCTCTTGGGAATATTCACAGAAAATGTCATTGAAAAATATGAAGTACTGATAAAGTTAGAGCATACAGTGCATTACTTCTGGGACAACCCTCGTACATACCCGTGTATGCAAATGTTCAGTACAAATCCAAACAGTAAAACGTAAAGTCATATAAGGGAACGGAATCAATAGAGTTTCAAAGTGACAAACGTGCAAATGATCAATACAAACCGAAAACAGTAAAACGTTAAGTCAGTGAAAGGAATCAAAAATAGATTCAAAGTGACATACAGACCCAAACCCATGTATGCAAACGTTCAGTGCATGGGTGGGTACAGCCATTTTGATTACCTTTAAAGGGTAATACATTTTGCATTTAGGTTGTCGATCAAGTTCGGCTGCGAAGTCTTTGAGGAACTGGATGTCACAATTCTCTTCATATGTGCAATCTAGCATTACATTGACTCGGCTAAACCGCCCAAGTCCTGGCTGTGCTGTCTTTGGGGGTGGAGGTGTATACTGGCACTTCTCGTGACATGGATGTACTGAATGCACTGGATCAGCTTAAATTGAATGATTTTGCCCCACTGTGTATTTATTATAATTTACATTTTCCAGTAATTATATTTTTGAAATCTGTTTTCAAAATGTTCATGAACATAAATATGAATTTTCAGTTTGTGTACGTTTAGAATAAGAATACGATGCAAAACGATATATACAATGTGACACAAAAAATGACACCCACCCACATAATGTTTCATAACTTTTTTGTCTGAAAAATGTTGACTTATTTTTTCGCATATTAAAACAATGCGGACATTCATTACTGTTACAAAAGGTGTCGACTTTTCCTCTGCTGGCACAACTGAATCTTACGCAAAAAATGACACCCACCTTTTGTAACATAATTTTGGAAATTTCATCAATGACAACTACATTATTTTGTTGAATGCACTTCAATTTCCTGAAAGTACAAGCCAAAATCAATAGTATTACAAAGTTATGTTACAAAAGCTGGGTGGAATTTTTTGTGTAGAATCCATGTGTGTCTGCAAAGGAATGGACGATATTTAGAGCAAATCTTGTAACGGTCATAAAATTTGACCAATTTGAGCTACATATCTGAAATTTCTCGAGGTGCTTTCACATTATATCTACTTCAAATGTGCTAAAGGACAAGTCTATATGTTAAGGGACAAACAAGTAATGCAACGTCGTTTTTTGTGTCACCCTGTATCATTATATGTAAGAAAATGTGAATGATTCAGAAAATGGGAGACCTTGAAAGAAAAAAGCAAGTAAAAGAATTTGAAGTGATGTTCATTCCGTCTTGTAAACTGTAGTCAAGAAATTATTTATTGATTCTGTGTCGTTCATTATTTTGTATCTTTATGTTTTGTTGAAAATACAATTGTATACGAGTGTTGACGATTTCAATTGGGAAGGGAAAACCAAGCTACACGCTAGGAGTGTGTAAGTGAATGAACACAGAACGTACCTGGTGGACAAACAAATTCACTTCTATCTAACAAATGATCAAACACCTCAGTCGCAAGATCTTCTATATCTGAGTCATCATCAAGTTTAAACCGATCTTCAACTTCAGCCAGTGTGTTTAATTGCTCAAGAGTCTCTGGTAACGATTCACGTCCCTTCTTGTTGGGTAACTCAATAACGATAGTCCGTACCGTTTCTCGCAATTTTTGGATAGCGTCCGTAGTTTTTTGGATATATTTCTGAGGTTGTGTGCGTCCATCCGTTAAAACAACGAGCACATCGGGAGTGCGTCTGTCGTTTAATGTTGTTTCGAAGAAATCATCGCTTGCCATGTTAATTGCATTATGAGTGAGAGTTTTACAACCTGTTGTTTCCATCTTGAAAGTTTCAATTCTTTGCAGAATCTCCTGTTTGGATAGTGCTTCATCGAATGTAAACACGGGGCGTGGTGTAGCATCATAGGCTAACAACCCGAACTGGGTAGCGACATTACTCACATTTTTTTGTTTAACAGAATCGAACATTGTCACAAAATCTTGGATGAATACTTTGGCGAGTGCTTTAGTTTCGTCATCAACACTGCACGATGTCTCCAGAGCAAAGACTATATCAGCACAGACTATAATTTAAGCAATTTAATCAATGAATTTTAAAATTTGAATTAATAGCTAACCGATAAATCATATGCTTAATGCAAAAGTATGACATAGTGTGTATAAGTCAGAACTAATCGAAGGACTTTTTGGGAAATAGGCATGGCATAATGACAGTAAAACATATGACCGTTTTTGTGAATCTCCGATCTCGGTCTCTATCCTCTCTACGCAGTTTAAAACAATGGGCGTGGAATCAATAGACTAGATGCGAGTAGAAATAATCTTAATTTACGTCATTAAATATTCAAAATTCAATCAAAGTGATGTCATATTTGAAATCTGCATGTAAAAGTACATCTAGAAATATAGTTTCGAAAATTGTATATCAACTTTGAAAATCTTTTTTTTGTTGAAAATGTGACTTATTGTTCGGGTTGATTCCCCATAGACCCCATGTTACAAAATCACAAAAAGTGAATTGTCTTTTCTTGTATTGGACAGATAACATTTTCTTTTACTAGATTTATTTTAATTTGCACAACTATTAGATACATAAGGGTTATATATGAAAATTGAACCACGCAAATAGATGTAATTTAAGATAAAGAGAACTTTCACTTGGTGGTGAATCTGGTAACTACCTACTCTCATCTGCGCGCGTTATTAGACTGCGTATTTAATGAAAAGTAATATTTGATAAAGGGATCATATGTACATGTAAACGTTTGTTGAATATAAGAAAAGCTTATAAAAAACCTAAGTTATTGTATCTCTGTGCTGGTTGACTCGCATTAACCTGTTTTGCTTGTTTAAACAAAACTTGGCCTCACTATGAAAAAAAACAAGAACTTACTTGATTGTTTTCCTTGAGAAGAAACAACTCCCATTGCCCAAACAAGCAAAATAATACGCATGCGCACGTAAACAACTCTCATCCTGACTTACATGTACCCGAGCTTGTTTCAAGTGTGATACTACCCATTCGGGGCCCATATTTATGAAACAGAAATTCGATATTTTTACTTAACTGTGACATCGATCTGAACTTATTATCATTGATTATTAATTATTTCTGTTCATTAATATGATTAATTAATGTACCTGATCATCGTAATTAGTAATAGATTTAACTTTAATCATATATTTGTATATAAGGTTAAATCATCTTCTATGGGCGGATGACCTCGTATTGATCTCAGAATCCAGTGACGGATTGCAGCTATTGCTTGACACACTTTTTTCTTTTTGTAAGACTAACAGGTTAATTGTCAACACAATGAAAACTAAAGCACTTATCTTCAATTCTAAAAGATCATTCAAATTTGAATTTAATGACCAAACTATAGAATGTGTCAAAGAATTCAAATATTTAGGTCTCATTCTCACCAAAAATAACAGTTTTGATCTGAACACTAAGTACCTTAAAGAACAATCAAAAAAGGCACTTTTTAAGATAAAGCAACAATATTTGAAGTTTAATGATGTACCACCGGATGTGGCTCTTCATCTGTTTAATGCGTTAGTTAGTCCAATTTTATGTTATGCATGTGAAATATGGTATGATAAAAAGCAAATGAAAGCAATTGAGTCAATTCATTTGTCTTTTTTAAGTCAACATTGGGTGTTAAATCACAAACTGCAAGCCCAGCTGTATATGGTGACCTAGGGAGATACCCATTATCAATCAAAATTGAATCTTACATTATAAAATACTGGCTTATTTCAAAATTTTCCAGAGAGTAATGTATTAAATCAAGCATACTTATATGATAGGGGTAATCAAGAGTTAGAGTTTAAAAGTTTGTCAAGCAAGGTTTATGATATACTCAGAAAATGTGATTTACTAGATTATTGGAATAATCAAAATCTGGATACTGAAAATCTGGTGAATATGGTTGAAAAGAAATTAAAAATATTATTTGTAGAAAAATGGAAAAATGATTTGAACACTTATCCTTTATTGAGAACGTACAAATTATTTAAAAATGATTTTGGTAAAGAATTGTACTTGAAACTAGATAATAAAAAGTATAGACTCGCTACAAGTAGATTTAGAATGAGTTCTCATCAGTTAGCAATTGAGACTGGAAGACATACAAAGCCAAAACCAAAACCTTTAGAGGAAAGATTATGTAATATTTGTAAAGATGTAGAGGATGAATGTCATTTCTTTTTAGCTTGTACAAAAAATGATGAGAATAGGCAAATAGTATATACAAAAGCCCGTGAAATTTTACCTAACTTGGATTTACAAAGTGAAAATTTATTTGTCAATCTTATTTCTAGTAAAAATGTAACCTTGCAAAGACATATTGGCAAATTCATTTACCATTCATTTAAGAATTTAGCATGGTCATAATGCATTGTATGTGCACCACACTATTATTGTTACCTTATATATTTTTATATAGGCCTACTTTTTGTATTTTTAGTTTAGTTGGTGTTTTGTAGTTTAGATATGTAGTCTACCATAGTTCTGACTAATGTAATCATGTTATGATACTATATGTCAATAAAAGTTATATATGTATATAATAGAGATTTATTTATTTAGAATTTAGAGATTTATTTAGAACTTATAATTTACGTCATAATTTGTCGCGTAGCTCTATACGTTTAAGTTTACTGTATAAAGCTATTAGGGAGATTTCGCTCACTGTTAGTAAAATCAAAAATTATATTTAGGCGTAGAGCTATACGTTATAAATGTCTATTTCATCGATCAATTCTTATGTTATTTTCACCCAAAATGAAGTTTTCTCATCCATACAAATTGTTGATAAGGTGGACTGGGTAGTGATATGACTTAGTGCCAAAGTACCACCATGATTCCTTACAAATATTAGTAACTATGTCTAAGTAAACGTGATAAGTATTTAATTACTCACTAATGCCTTGGTCACATTTGCTACGATTTTCTCTACGGCGCCCGATCGATTGAGTATTTTGTTCAAAATTGAATACAATATTGAACAAAACACTCAATCGGGCGGGCGCCGGCCGATGGATCGGAGCAAATGTGACCCAGGCATTATAAACAACATTTTATAAGAGATGGTTAACTTAAAAAGAGGCTAAATTGTCTCAGTTATCAAACGTCAGATGATATAAGAAAACGTGTTCCTTGAGTACTTCAAAAATTGAGTTCTAACAGATTTTGAGATTTGGTTAAGAAGTGGGTACCGTCACGTGACATGACGAAATGTAAATGTCATGATCAATTGTATGAAGTAAGAATTTCTCCATCTAAAATTTCACTCGACTTTTTGGCAATTAAAAGTCCCTGCCTGCATTTAGTAGTTATATATTGTCATGTGCATAATTTTGAAACCATATCCTAATTATTTCACAAACCCTTTGTTAATTCTGCCATAGTTTCCAATTTGTAAACAGCATTTAGCCTTTTTAATTGGGAACTTTTTTGAAATTTCCAAAATGGCTGCCATGTGATTCCAGAATTAACATGAGTGTGACGTGACATCACAGTTGCTCGTTCCTAGGTAACAACAAGATCACAATTGCTCGTTTCTAGATAGCAACAAGATTTTTGATAAAATGGCACAGAATTACCCTGATTAACACCCTTAAAATCCGATTTTCAAAGAATATGTTTGGAGAAACAATAAAAGGTAAGTGGAATAAATTAGAAGATGGTTTCAAGTTACCACAGAAGTCAATTTGAAACTCAAGAATATGCTTTCTTTGACTCATAATCACAAAAAAGTCGTATTATACAATAATTGTGCAATAACATTTTCGTGATTTTGATAAATCAAAATGTTTCACATTTAAGAAATATAGACCAAAGAGCAGGGTTTCTAGTTTCGAATAACACCCCGCTGGTCTCGGCACAAACGTTTTCTGTACCCCGAACGACCGAAGGAAGTGAGGGGTTCGAAAGCATTTGTGCCGAGACCAGCGGGGTGTTATTCGAAACTAGTAACCCTGCTCTGAGGTCTATATTACGATTCGAACATGAAAACCCACCAAATTGTTTCGAATATTCATCATGGTCCGCCATTACTACGACCCACCGTTATGACGTCACACATTACACGTATTACCTGGGTTATTGATCTCGAATATAACCCAGCTGAAGCATTGACTTTGTTAAGAGTTTATAGAAGGCGTGAATACAGTCATGTTCGAATGTCATATAATGTCTTTTTATATTATTAATTTAAACTACTAAAATAAACAATTTGCCCCGGTTGATGTAACATCGAGTAACCATAAAGCCGACCATTGCAATTAGATAGTGAGGTATGAATCCAATAATGTTAGGGAAATGTGTTTTTAGAAGATAAGTACAGTAGCATCAGCATCGAAATGGTTCAGAGTCTTTGACGATCACTTTTGGATTACCATGCAGGGGCGTAGCAAGCCCTCAGACAGGGGGTTGTGCGATCACCAAACATTTTTCGGTTTCCAGTCAGGGGGTGCGATTTCGGCATAAACAAGTGAAAAAATTAAGCTAGAATCTTAAGATAAAAAAACATTTCAACGCTTCTTCAACACTTCTTCTTCTATATCATGGTTTTATTTTATTTTGTGGGGGATGGTGCAATACCACCCATCGCACCCCCTTGCTACGCCTATGCCCTGTAGAGTTAAGTCATTGTTTTGATAAAAGCATTGTCATCACTGATCTTTTGAGTTTGCAATTCTAAATGAGAAAGCAATACTCACATTTTGCCAAATGCAACTGTTGCACACTACATGAAATTTTATGAATATTGCTTTCAGAGAGGAAAATAATATAACATGTTGTATTATAAATGTTATAATCACCTTTTATTTCAGTAGCACTTATATCAAACGGTTGTAACTTGGACATGGATCCGTGAATTGGTATGCAACTCACAAGAAAATGTTTTTAGGAATGTATTAGAACTTGATCAATACGTTATGATTCGGATTGTAACTTTGTCATCATTCAAGATACTTTCAGATTATTGTTAAATTGTAAGTTCTACTGTATCGCTAGCTGATTCTTATCACATGTAATTCATTTGATAATGTCGTAATATTCAATATTGAAAGGAAAGTCGTTAAGGTTAAAATAATTAATTACGAACAATTATCCAATGGACAATTGTCAGCCCTAGAAAGATAAATATTGAATATGGATTGCTATTTGTTTCACCACAAGAACGGCACATTAATCATATAATGACATCAATGTTCCACATGTAGGATATTACAGGGTGTTTCAAAAGGAACTGGATTGGTGCTGGCATTTATTAAATATGCACCAATTTGTTTCACCACAAGAACAGAATTCATTAGCATCAATATAATTCCCCTTACATGTGGTTTTAGATTGTGAGAATACTTTCTGAATCGTCCAAATAGAAGAGGGTGATAAACATAGGTTTTGGGCCAATATAAAGATGGCAACAGTAGTATCCTGTTATAGATTGAGTGACCTGCCCTCTTTATTTAAAATTTATCTCCATCGCCCTTCAGCCAATATTGAAAAAAATTCTTCGCAGGCCTACGCTAATTTTCTGCGAGGGAGATTCATATTGGGCATCTGTTTCCTTACAGTGGCGTAGCGTCGTTTACGCAAAGTACGCAAATGCGTCCACTGGAACAATCCAATGTTTATCTGAATATTTGGAAATTCTAAAGGACGATTCTCGGTTTGGAGAACAGCCTCCTGGGCTAAAAAAAATTTCATGAAAAATATAGAAATATTACCCAAATTAAACTATGAATATTCAAAAGAGGACAATTAAATCTACAAGATGTAAAAATAACAAATTGGTCTGAAGCAGGGATAATGCTCAAATAGACCGATTCAATAAAATACAAGTCTCGATTTGGGGAAAGAAGTTCATCAGTGTACTGCGCTAATAGTTTTTTGCGAAAAATCTAGAAATATTACCCAAATTAAATTATGACTATTCAAAAGAAGACATTCAAATCTATATTATGTAAAAAAATCAAAGTCCGAAGCAGGGATAATGCTCATTTAGATTGATGAACTTCGTTCTCCAAACCGAGAATCGTCCTTTCTCAAGTTTTAATAAGCAAAGCCATTGTTCAACCTTATCATTTCGTATCTTTGAACAGGGTTCAACCATAGAAAGGTGTTTATTTTAGTCCCGACATGTCATTAATGATTCTTTCAAATTATACTCTCATAATTTCGTGAATACTCTTATATAATCCATATGACCTCCCCGTATTAAGTACACAATGGCTGCTCATGTGCCGAATCCAGCTCCAGTTTTGGCGTAAGTATCTTTTGAATTTAATGATTAGGGATAGTTAATCAATTACGCTAATATCTATATACTATAATAATATTCAAGCAAGATTTGGCTGTACCTTTTATCCATAAATCTTATCGGAAGACATTGAATAATAGTAAGCCTAATCAACAGTGCTGTCTGCTGCAGACATCTTTTTGTTCAGTGTAAATTATTCAGGTAAGATTTTTACAACGATAGTCTAATAGATTTTTTAAATGTTCAAAATTATTTTTGTGTAAAAATGGACCAGATTATGATGATCTTCGTGGAGACGAGGCACTGCGTGATTGTTTGACTGATCCAGGGAGAAAGCGACGTCTTGTTGAGGGGCAATGAGTACTTATGAGTAAATTTCAAGTGAAAATGAATGCGTATCGGGTAACCCCCCCCCCCATCCCAATTTGGGAATTTTGCGTCCCCTAGTAAAATTGCCACGCTACGCCACTGCTTATATGGCTGGTACAGTTAAATGCTCGTTTTATTTGTCACCTATCAAATACACAAATTGTATAATTTTTGGGTATTTACCCTTGACAAATGATTGCCTATAAAGTAACGACATAATAGGAAAAAAAGAACAGTTTATGGGAATTCTGATCTTCCAATTGCAATGTAAAATGAAATATTAAATAATGTGAAATACTGTTAACATTACGAATGATAAATTGTCGAATAATGTAGTATAATATATCTTTGATAAAACATGTACAAATTATCATGGCGTAGAACATTGTAAATAGCTTCATGAATCCCGGACAAATGAATCCCGGTGTAAAAGGGTAGGAGGTCCTATCAAATTATGGTCCTACTCTCCATTGATTTATATGGTGACCTAAATACAACTCTTTCCCTCATTATCTTATACACAACCAGGGCCAGTAAAGGCCTTTAAAATGGGGGACCGTAATCCCTGGGGGACCATAATTTCTTTCACACCGGATCCAAGTTCGTCATTAATGGTCGGAAATCAAAACATTGACTTTATGACCTAAAAGGCCAAAAGATTATGCGGCAAATGTTGAAACGGGTGTTGTCAACATACACGTATTGTACTAGTTTGATCTCTTAGAATCCGTTGAAGCCCAATACAAGCAATATAAGGACTTGGAGTTGTTTAGATCACTTAACGAATGATATGAAATGATGTTATGTTTTTTTCAAAGTAATATAATGGCGGCCAATGGGGGATTTTAGCAAATTATCCCAAAAATTAAATCATTAAAAGGTCGAATTATAAAGATCTATGGATGGATTTTGCTGTTTTAAATTATATATCAAAACTTACGTTTTGGTTGGTGTTTTAATCATGGGCTTTCAATTAAAGCCCATTTTTTAATGAAGACAGCTCTCCATTGAAATTGTTCGATCATGAAGTGTCGATCGCGCATGCGTTGTGACAAAAAAGTCGTACCCCCTCTTGAAGTTGTTACATGTATTTGCTGGTCATTGCATGCACGCCCCTCTAAGACACGTAGGCTTTACGTCGTCGGTGAACACGTAAGCCTATCATGTTTTTTTTGTTTTGCTTTTTTAAACTGTATTTCAAGAATAAGCATATGTATAATTATACATTATACATAGGCATTCTTTTCAAAATATGCATGATGTATAGTGCCAGTTTTGTCTCTATTGAATATTTGTATTGCCCTCCTGGCTATTAAAACTTCTTTACTAATTTTTATACTTATTTATTCCTATAAGTTGTTCAAAAGTGAACAAAATCCTTGGTTTGGAAAAAATGGTGACCGGGGTTACAGGTATTGGCCAGATCGTTTTGTAGTAGGATCTCATAGGCTCAAAGAATATTTATTGAGCTACTGATCCTACTACAAAAGAATCATCTGGCCGGGGTAACCGAACTTATCTCGTTTGGGAATACGAGTAACCATTTTATTCCAAGATCTCCGTGTTAAGGACTACACATGACTCGCTCCGCCTGCGGACACCTATTGCATTTAAACATTGTATTTCCCTCCAAATGAGGCATAATCGCAATTAAAAAAACAAATAAATTCTACTACTTCAATAAATCCACCAAACCTAATACCCGGGAATACATGCAAGATTGCTCTGAACGAAATGCTTGGAGGATACCTCATTTAACCTGCGCAGTGACTTATGCGCAGTGGAAGTTTCAAAATGGCGTCAGGTTCAAAAAGAAAAAGTGGGAAAGTGGAGAAAACTTCACTTTTCGAGTGTACATGTCCAGTATGTATGTATATTTTAATAGAACCAGTGACTATGCCATGTAATCACGAGCTATGCATGCCGTGCTTCAAGAAGAACGTACAAGAAACGAGTCTACTGTGTCCAATTTGTCGAACTCGGATAGCGACTTGGTCGCGGAGGGCCTCCAAAACAAACTCTCTTATCGACTACAACAGATGGAAACAGATTCAAGAACTCTTCCCTACGAGAGTACGGAATAGAATAGAAGGCAGGGATGACAGTGACTCCAGTGATGAAGGTATGTTTCAACGGGATTTCAAGTTTCACGGCTGTTTGTTGATTTCAAAAATGTAAACAAAATTTCAATTTCTAGGCCAGCTGTCAAACTAAGCAATTTTTACATCTCAAGTAGTCTACAATTTTCATCAGTATAATAGTTGAGATGTGTGGATTGCTGAGTTGACTGTAAATGGAATTCATAATATAAAATTAACGTTGTCAGATGATAGGATTACACTTTAGTCCAGGCTTGCCTGAACTGTGCTGCTCCCTGGAGTCCAATGTTAGAACTATAAACACTTCTGTAAAAATGAATGTACCATGTAATACAAACCATCTTTTAATGACATTGATAAACACTTGATATATAAAGCTTGACAGATCGAAAAAAAAATTGGATAATTTATTGAAAGCTTTGATGTGGTCCATTTGAGCTGTTGTTGGTGTCCAATGAAAGATAAGGTTCTTATCAATACATTGGACTTACTGAACACAGCTGGCTTTTGAGCCAGCTGACGAACCATTAAAATATACCGTCTTGTGAAGTGGTTTTCTCCAACTTCCAAGCAGGCGCGGTGGATTAGAAACGGTATTTAAGAAGATACAGGGTGACCGGAAAAAAAGGAGACCATTGAAATAGGCAATATCTCCTAAAATAGACTAGTGACATCAATGAAATTTTGCATACATCAGGACAGTTCTATGGAAATTTGTTCCTGAAAGTGTCAATACAAGCAGTCAACTGGTTCAGGAGCTATGATCATTTACATAACATGCTCCAAATAGGCGCAATTGAGACCAACGCAGAGCTGGATACATTTGGCAAATACCCTTACATATTCCAACCTTGTTATGGCATTACATTTAGCATTTATTGCCACCTTTAGGTCAGCAATTGTCTCAGGATTGTTTTGGTACACATTGTCTTTCAAATTGCCCCACAAAAAGAAATCAGGTGGATTCAAATTTGAGGTGTATGGAGACGAAGCTTATCTGACCTATGGCTTCTGACTCAGTGGTCCCACTCAGTTACAGTATCATCCTAAGGAGGTTTTGGGCAGCCCTTGGTTTCCATATTGGATTTAATTGTGCCATATAGTGGTTTTAGTAACATGGCACTATGCCCAATACCTAAAGTGACTCTTAAGATTGGGTAAATCAGCACTTTGGCAACAGGATGATGAACCACATGTCAGATAACCCTTCATTGCCATTACAGCCTAGACTTGAATCCTGCTGATTTCTTTTTGTATGGATATTTGAAAGACAATCTATACCAAAACAATCCTCAGACTATTGTTGACCTAAAGAAGGCAATCACTGCTATATGTAATGCCATAATAATGCCATAGAGGGCAGAACATGTAAGGGTAGTTTGCCATATGAATCCAACTCTGCGTTGGTCTCAATTGTGCCTATTTGGAGCATGTTATGTAAATGATCATAGCTCCTGAACCAGTTGAATGCTTGTATTGAAACCTTCAGTAACAAATTTCCATATAACTGTTCCAGTGTATGCAAAATTTCATTGATGGCACTTGTCTAGTTTAGGAGAAATTGATTACTTCAATGGTCTCCTTTTTTTCCGGTCACCCTGTAATTGAATGTAACTTGCCCTTTTCATGACGCGTGGTGACAATAAGTCCTACTTGCAGGGCTGTCAACTTGGGACCACCTAATATGAGTGACTTCAAAATGTTGGACACCTAAGTCCAAATCTGAACACTTTTGTCCAAATTTTGAACACCTTTGGCCAACTTTTAAACACCTTTGGCCAAAGTTTGAGCACCTTTGCCAAACTTTGAACACCTCAAATTTTTCGCGCTCCCTACGCTCGCGTTGTCGTCAACGGGGGGGGGGGGGGGGTAAACATATTTCAAAAAAATTTCTACAGAAATATTTTTGCTTGACAATTACCAGGTAAAATGCGTATTTTGCGTGACATTTTCTGTCACGCAAAAAAAACTGGCGTGACATCAAATTCTTCAGCAAATGCGTGACAAATACGCAAATTGCGGGACAGTTGACAGGCCTGTACTTGTTGTGTAATTGCAGTTAAAGTGGAGAAATTCCAGAACTGGCGCGCACCATTTTTTAACTTTTTGCGCATGCGTGCACATGCGCATTGTACTTTTTATGCGCATGGGTATTACTACTGAAAGATCATGTGACTTCATATTTAGCTAACGCGAATTAATTTGTTGCAAATTTTTACTTTCGAAAGTCACGAGATCTCGCGAGACCTAAAATGGCTGGAATCTAAATTCAAAAGTTTTGTTGTCTAAAAAACAGTGATTTACTACAACAACAGACTGTTGAAGGAACAAAATAAGGTAACAACAAATAAATAATATATTGACTCAAATATATAGCGTATTATAAATGCTACTCAGCACAGCGTTTAGTCAAAATGGGCCCGATTTATTCTCTTCAAGTACACATACATCCATCTTCCCAGCTAACATTGGACATACATACGAGGGGTGATCAGGAATTTCTGGACCGTTGGCTCTATTTTTGCCATTTTTTATCCTTTCTTCGTGATTTTTCCACACAATATAACCCAAATATATGGGATCACACCCTGAAGATTTCATTGTTCTATGACATCATTATCATATTATTTTTGTTACCATGGTAACTGGTGACGCGACAAGGTGGAGCTCAGATAAATACCAAATTTGAAAAATGTACAGTTATTTGATATGATGTTAAGACACTGTATTCATTGCTGAATACGTGACATACTGTATAGGTTGTATTATTTCATTAAGTATATTCATTAATGTTCATAGTAACTATTATTATTCGTCCATCAATTCTAATCCTTTAAAGTAGTTACCAGCATTTTGTAAGCATTTGTTATGCCTTTTCACCCAGTCCTGAAAGACGTGATACAGACCGTCTTTACCTACTTTGTAACATTGGTGTGTGTATTCCTGAATGATCTCATTAATTTCCTCAAAGTGGATACCTCATAATTTGTTCTTCAGTGTTGGGAAAATATAAAAATCACACCCAGCTAATTCTGGGGGATACGGTGCGTGTGGTACACAGCCACAAGCAATGGAAACAGTCACATTTTGTAGGCAAAGACGGTCTGTATCACGCCTTTCAGGACTGGGTGAAAAGGCATAACAAATGTTTACAAAATGCTGGTAACTACTTTGAAGGATTAGAATTGATGGAAGAATAATGACAGTTACTATGAAAATTAATGAATATACTTCATGATATAATACAACCTATTACAGTATGTTACATATTCAGCAATGAATACAGTGTCTAAACATCATATAAAACTACTGTTGATTTTTGGAATTTGTTATTTTTTCTGAGCTCCACCTTGTCGTGTCACCGGTTACCATGGCAACAAAAATAAAATGATAATGATGTCGTAGAGCAGTGAAATCTTCATTGTGTGATCCTATATATTTGGGTTATATTGTGTGCAAAAATCATCAAGAAAGGATAAAAAATGGCAAAAATAGAGCCAACGGTCCAGAAATTCCTGATCACCCCTCGTATGTGTTTAAATTTAAGTCTTTATTTTGCCCAAAAATGTTGAAAATTCCCAAAGTGGGCCTTTAAGTCATACCTGAAGTAGTGATCTCCCCAGCTAGCATTAAAGCAAGTGGGCACAGCACCCACTTGAGATTTTGAAAATAGGCTTGCACCCACCTGAAAATCTATTTGCACCCACTTAAAAAGGAGAAAAATCATGAATAATTGGCATATTTTGACCAATTTTGGTCTGAATTTTGAAAATGCACAGGAAAAATCCTGGGGAGATCACTGTGAAGTGTCGCAAATTGCAAACAATGTTGAAATCACTTAAAATCATGTGCTTTTTTTCACTGCAATTACATCTTCTCATAATCTTAAATTCTGATTTAAGGGCATATGTCCTTGGAACTGGCAATCAAAGAATATGTATAAGAACTGCCAATGTTTTAAATCGTGAGCATATGTGGTACTCAATTTGCACTTTTAACCAGCAAATGACATTTCATCAGGTAAAATGTCAATTTTGATAACTTATAAATGTCTAAGGAACACATATACCCACCAATATTATTGGATTAATCATATTTTAGTTCATCTTTTTCTGATTATACAATTAGAATTGACATGAAACATTGGCACGATTTTGAAAAAATTAGGTCAACTTCGAACATTTTACACTATTTAAGTCTCTATTTGTTGCTTTACTTTAAATGTTGACCATTTACTTAAAACTCCATGTCATATTTAACTTCTGCTGGCCTCTTTCCAAATATGTTATGTAATTTATCAAATATCTATTATACAGTTTCAAGTTCAACTTTCTCAGGTCAATGGTAAATTTTTACTATACTCAATAATCGTGCCAAATCAGTGGAGTAATGATAAGTATTTTAAGTAAAGACTAATAATTTTGGAGTAACTTTTTTTGATGTCAATCTACACATTTTAAAATTAATTTGATATAGTGGTATTTTAGAGTATCACTTGGTAGTGTGAGGGTAAATAAGGATGCTGTACTCCATAAGACCTGAGTCAAGAAAGAGTTAGTTGAGAGTTAGAAAGCTTAATGTCCAGAAGACAGAGATTCTAATTGCCAGACCTTTATTAGAAAAAATAATGTAAATAGTGTATATTTAGTGTATTTTATTCTTACAATAGAAACTTATATTTCACTTTATCCTAGAGAGTCATGTAGACAGATCACCTTAAATAATGTTTTTTCTGTTTTGAAAAATTCAACATGTCGTGTATATTTCTTAATTTTTCAAAGAAATCTACAACTATTTTGTTGCGGTTTTACTGTATTCCGTTTCGTCTAGTGTTGTTGGGCGATAATTCAATAAAGGCCTAAAATGTCTAACATTTTGAATTGGCTTATTAGGGCAACAAAGGCAAGAACTGTTGACAACAATGATATCCTACAAATTGAAGTTGAAAAAGCCATTCAAGAATATTCAAATAAATGCCCTAAACGTGGGAAATACTCATACTCATATTTTTGCCCTTAAAGGTATCTGTAGCATGAGGAAAAACAACAACCTTAAGACCTATTTATCTTTTTTGGACATCTCTAAAGCCTTCGACGTGGTAAACAGGGACCTTTTATTTTTACGATTATTGGAAAAAGGTATTCAAGGCAAAGTCTGGCGCATTTTGAGGGAGTTATATGTGGGAGTTCAAAGCAAAGTTATCTTTGGAAAAATTTCAACAGAGTGGGAAGAGTGCAGCCCTGTCTATAGCCTAAAACAGGGTTGCTGCCTCTCCCCGACTCTGTTTTCCCTTGTTATGAGCGACCTTGTTGAAATGTTCAACAATGAAGATGTAGGGTTACCTTTTGAAAACGAAAAGGTCCCAGTTCTTATGTTCGCTGATGATGTTGTTTTACTTGCCGAAAATGAATCTACAATGAACAGAATGTTAAAAATTGCTGATATCTTTTCCATTAAATGGGGGTTCAATTTTAGCCCTAAAAAATCAAAGGTTATTGTCATTGGGAAAAGACTTGACAAAAATAAAAAATGGATCTTAGGCAGCCATGAACTATTTGAGGTTAAAATTTATAAGTATCTAGGGATATATTTTGATCGGTCTCTAAAAGACTCCGGCCACATTGACTCCCTTGCCGAAAAATCTAAACGAATTCAAGGTATGATAGTCTCCACTTTGACAAAGCACTGTAATGTCATGCGTCTCAAATTTGGGGGGAAAATGTACAATTCAAAGTTTGTCCCTGCCATTCTCCACGGCTGTCCTATATTCGCGTTAAACAAAACTAACACAGATAAAATGAAATCAATGCAATATAATATTGGGAGATCAATTCTCCAAATTAGGTGTTGTCCAGCAAGAGAAGCACTTTTAGGTGATTTAGGCTGGAGGCCTCTTGTTGATGTCATTGAAAAAAGGCAAATAGATTACTTTATATATTTAAAATGTAATATCAAAGAAGGGTCATTAACAAAAAGATATTTAATTCTATGTATGATGGATTCTGTGATAATGATGAAAGCAAAGCATTTCCTTACTTTTCAAACATAAAATCCATCCTAACAAAATATGGACTGGATGATGTTATCCACAGAGATGATATTGACTGGTATCAGGCTTTTATCAAAATATCAGATCATTAAATCGGCATTGAATGAAAAGTCTTCACTCTCACTGTATCGATGTCTAAATCCCCATCCCTTCTTAAAAAACTACCTGACCACAGATTTTGACTTCTATGGGCAAAAATTAAAGTTCAAAGCTAGATCAGGTTGTTTTGGCTTAAAAACAGAATACGAAAAATGGGGACAGGGAAATGGAATATGTACGTTATGTGATAAAAATGTAAAAGACACCATCCAACATAGACTTTTTGTTTGCCCTTTCTTTGGTAATGATAGGAATACTTTTTATAAAAATGTTATTGAAAAATGTAATCCAGCACTATTTTATCAGCCAGTGTGCAAATTAAAACATGCTGGACCTTAGGTGAGGACATTTTTACATTGTGGGCACAAGAAGAAGCTTTTAAGTTCGATAAATGTGTAAACGGTCCTTTAAAATGTGTATATAAACCCCAGACCCAATGACATGTTTTAGTTTCTTATATATCATGCCTGTTAACTAATATATGCTTTTAAATGTGTTGCCAATGTCTGGAAGAACCATTTGTGTTCCGCTGTAATAAAAGCGCTTCCAATAAATAAAATACAAACATTATTTGGATTCTGAACGGGCTAAAATAGCCAGATACGCATTGATTCACGGTAATCGGAAAAAATTCAACTTGTGCAATTCGCGAAATGTCATCAACTCAAATCCGCGAAATTAAACAGCCGCGGAATTGCAATTTTGAAAAACCGCGAAATTTTATAGCGTCGAAATTTACCCAGAGTACAGTATCTTTACATCATCATTTCAATCACCGCCTTAATTATTTGAACAAGTTACCTTGAAATATCAAGACGCCATGCTATTCTAATACTTATAGAACTTAATATGACTGTCATTCATCGTTTATTAAGCAGTAAAAAATTTATTTGCATCATTTGTGATAAAATGTTTCTACTTTCCTGGTGAATGTCAAGTCTCGCATCATACAAAATGTAATTTAAAGCGATCTGTCTGCATGGGGTGCATATGTAACTAGCATTTTCATAACCATTTATTCAATGATGTTAGTATAGATCATACATGAAGGACAATATCAACAGTAGTATTATTATATAGTCCCTCATTGTAGAATTGACCGTTTTAAATGTATGGATTTACAAATGACCTTGTGACGAATTTTCTTGTGACTAAAGGTGGTATAAATTGCTTTGTATTTATGTATTTACAGAAAGTGTCACTCCAGTGTTTCATACAGTGGCAGAGCCTGGTGAAGTCAGGAGAGAGTACGAACTTGAACTGAAAAAGGTAAGGGGTTACTTGGCATTACTGCTAGGTTCATAGATCAGGGGTATGTTACATCTCTTATATAATACTTCAAAGGTATACCTGTATTTCGTGAAATTGCTTTGCCTATTTAATGAATGAAAATAATTTACATAACTTGTTGGCAATAATTTTGAAAAAGGGCCCTTTTTCAATTCTAATGTATTTTGATAATTCTTCATCACTAATTTGATCAGACATCAATTGTTCAGAAAATAAAAAGGATCATGGGGGAAAGATTGGTATGCTTTTTGAAAAGATTACTTCAGAACTTTTACATTCTTTTGTCTTTGTTGCCATTGCAACTTGCTTAAACTTCTCCAACTCTGATTTTCAGACAATCAAACAGAGCTGCCACCCAGCATCGAAATCTCTAGCACAGCATCCTGAGATTTGGCTCCAATAATTTAGATAATAGATATCAATGTTACAGTGGAAAATTTATTAATCCTCATATGTTGCACAAACAATTACAAAAAAACTTCATTGTTGCACAATATTTTAAAAGAACCCCTATTTCACACAATCAATCAATCAAGAACAAAAACCTTTCAGTCAATACCAAGGATTGAAAAAATTGCTCATCTATTAAGAAAATTATCACCATCAAAAAATGTCTGCAAAGCCAAAATATATCTTGTCTAAAATTTTCTATTTCAGCTTCAAGCGCAACAGGAAATTGAACGTCAAAAAGAGGCTGAAGAGAGTGAAGCTCTGATTCGTCAGTTACAAGAGGAAGAAGAGAGGTTGGAGGAAGAACGTCGTAGAGCGTTGGATCGTCTACAACTCAGTGATGAACTGCTTGCCAAGGAATTAAGCAGCAAATATTCAGAGGTGAGAATAACTAAAATATTTTTTTTATTTTGTCGGTTTTACCAAAATGGAGATCTGCATTAGCAAAACCATCCATCAGTTTTGATATTAATTCTTCTACATCATCTTACATATTGTTATATGAATATCATTCAAAATTGAGATTGCTTACTAAAAGAAAGTTTTGTATCCATTTGGGAGAACATTTTCAGTTTTTGGGACTTTCTACTCCCTGTCACTGTCAGAGGTGAAGACAAAATAGTCTCAATTTTTATGACTGGTGGTCAAGCTTTCAATCTCAACCAATGATCACACATCTGTAATGTTTGTGATACTTAACAAGTAATTTTCAAATTTTGGTGAAATCTTTACTCCTTTATGCGATGTGTAACCAGGTGGTAACATTTTGTCACGTGAGTGCCTTGTAAGAATAATTTATGTTGTTCTTAACTTGAATGAATGCAAAAAATGAAGAGGAGTTGAAATCCATATTTTCATGTTTTTTATGCTTTATCGTTTATTCGTTAAATGTTAAAATGACTGTAAGTACATTGAGCCTTTTTAACACAGCCTAAAGTTCCACTCAGGGGTGAAAGATCAAGTTCAAGGTTAGGGGTCACAACAAGGTCAAGGTCAAAGGTTTAAAAATTTATATAAATCCACTGCACCTAGATTATTTCATAGCTATATTTAAAATAATATAATGAAAACATGGTATATTTTAGGAGCAGTGTTGCAATATTATCTTTAGAATTCATTGTTCTTTTAACATATTGTTATTTTTAAATTTAACGCATGGTTTTGGATTTTTGTTAATTTTTACATCTGTTTATGACAGTTCAAATTCACTTTTATTGTAAGCTATGCACACTTTAGTTCTGTCCCTTTTGTCATCAGCATATAAATATGTACAATATAAATGTATGACTTAAAAACAGTACTCCTATGCAGAACTATACAGGAAAATCTATATAAATAAATAATAAATATGTACTGTCTAAAAATATGAAAAAGTAATTTTTAGGGCATAATTTCAATGTCGTTGTTAAATGCCTAAGCTCCCATTTGAAAAGTGGTTTTAATATCTTCCCTGATGTAGTTTCAAAAGCTTAAATTATGACATATTTTATCCAAAATTAAATCATTTATAATTTATTTGATTTTGATATTCTTTATTTCCAGGGCTTGCAGTCACCGAACCCACAAGGTTGGTTATATGACAACATAAGTCCAACAAGTCGTGTTAGTTCAAATACAACCCACAAAAACAACCCTGTGATGGATAAATTTCTCGCCAATGCTAGATCTCGATCCCAATCTAAAACTGATCTTGAATCCCTGTCTAATAGGCAATCTGGATCTGGCCTAGGGATTGAATCCCACTCTGATCTTGATCCCTATAATTATACCTGTATAAGCCCAAGTGAGAAAGAATCAAAAAAACTACAAGGATTATTGAATGATACGCGGTTACTCGACAGCAACAAGGATATGGAATTTTCTAACCTTTTAGAAGACTCAACTTCTGACCCTGTGATTCCCCTCATCTACCTTAGTAGTACCAACACTACGCCGGAGCTCCAATATAAAAAGAGACTTAAGGGGGAACCAGCGAGCAGCAGTAATGGGTCGAGCGTGACTGTAGAAAAAATTCCTACTCCGACTTTTGGTTTTAAGACACCTTCGAGTGAAAGTGAAATTTTGTTGAGGGAAATGTCGCAATCTGGCACAAGTACACCATTGTCTGCCGTGACATCATCAAAGAAGCTCCAGGATGTAACTACACGACCCAGTAGCGTTGAAAGTGGGGATAGCATATCTGGTGAAATGTCTCATTTTAAACCAATCAAATCATGTCCATTAACTCCGCCGAAATGTTTGCCGAGTGGGAAAATATTGCGATCACCAGTTATTCGAAGTACACCTCGGAATTTGAGTAGACCTGATTTTCAATCATCGGGATTAACCCGTACTTTCCCACTTGGCAGCCCTGCAGTCCAGAGAAGAATTCAGTTATTGGCTGAGGAGCGTAAAGGGTTAATTCACTCCCTTTCAAAGTCCACATATACTGAATTAAACCAGATAAAAACTGAGCATAGCTATTCGAGTCCAAAGCGTAGACTGGAAGATTCTAATCTTGAAGAAGCAAAGCCGAATGTTGAAGCAATATCCAAGAAACTAAAATTTGAAAAAGTCATTGAGGAAAAGGATTACATTTTACCATTGGAGCCAAAATTGGATGAAATTGATGGATCACAGCCTGAAGGTGTACGTCCACTCCAGGAGAGCACCATGAGCCACCACAAAGATAATGTAGTTCCTCAAGTGAACATAAAACGTGAAACTCCTGTTGGAATGTCAAGTCAGCCTTCGACATCTGCAAGATCACCTGGGCGAGTGTACAGGATGACAAAATCAACCAAAAATCGCAATTCATCAAAACCTTGTCAAAATGGCACTGCAAAAAACACCAGCACAATAACCAATTATTTTAGAAAGGACACAAAAGTCGGAATTGAGCTTCTTCCGAATGTCACAACGACCCCGTTAACACCTAGGACATTGGAAAAGAGAATCGAACAAGTTAGAAAGGGTGTAACTGTAAAAACTGAACCAACTTCCACAGATGTAAATAATATTAAAGTGGAAATCAAATCTGAACATTTTGAGCCTGAAAATGTAGAGATGTCAATGATTACAAAAATTAAAACCGAGGATACCAGAGATGTACATAAAACTGTAGAGAATGTATTGCCAAATAAGGAGAAAAGTCCTTCTACTCCTAAAACTGTGAAAAAACATAATGAACTAGTTAGTGGTATACATGATAAAACAAGATCTGATTTAAACTCATTGGCAGACAATGTCAAACATGAAATTAAATCTGAAACTGCAAGTATGCAGAATATGGATATTAACACTGATTCCGAAAGTGATAAAAACTGTGCCAATAGAAAGGAATTAAGGAAGGAAAAGGAACCAAGGTCACCTCAACGAAATCAACGAAGAAAAATAAAGGAGGAAGTGAAAACTGAGGTGAATGTTGAAGATGTACAAAATAATGTAAAAAATAAACCCGATGGAGCTAAAAAACAGGCACCTGAGAAATTACCTTCCCCAAAGAAGAATACAAATACTCCAAAATCAAAAAGCATCAAGGACAGCAATATCGAATATACACCTGATCAAACGAGAGGAAAAATTCTTATTTGTGAGAAATATGCAAACATTACACCTCAAACGCCTAAAATGGGAGCCAAAAGACAGACTGTGTTAAAGAAGCAAACACAACAAAAGTTAATCAAAATAGAACTGAAAAATAATTCTCAGGACAACAGTCAAAAGGATTCCAAGAATTTACGTAGCAAGATATCTCCAAATCGGAGACAAACTCGGAGCGGGCGGATTGTAAAATCGAATAAAAAACTTAAACATGATCCAAAACAACCAAAAATATTCTCGAAAAGAAACCAAGTAGAAAATAACAATTCAATAAAGGACGAATCAAATTTGCCCCTTGATTCCCCTGAAAAGTTTATTCATGATTTCAAAAACGACGATGATTATTGGAAATATGTTGAAGAACGCGATCGACTAATTGCAATAAAGCTTCAACAAGATTATGAACTAGAAGCAAAACTAAATCTGACTAGTATTCGTACTAAGGGGTCTTCGGATGAATATAAACTACGGACAAGGAGGTCTAAAAGAATTCAACATTGAATATGAATTTTAATTTTCCTTTCCAAATATTTCAAGGTTGGCTAGTCAAAAATTTCCAGAATTACTTTGAAATAATTTGAAGGGAAATTTTAGTAAAGTTATATAAAAATACTCAGCTGAAACTAAGTTGGCTGTACTAGGGATGGCATTCAATTGTAACTTTTGAGAATGCCCCTCATTTACCCTGATGTACCAAAAATGTGTCTTTCACTTGAATATAATATTAAAAAAATATCAACAATCTGCAACAAAATTGACATTCACCCACTCCCCCTTATTAAATGAAGATTCTCTCACAATTGTTAAGAATTGGACACCATCCCTTTACTAAATGTGTTTGACTGTACTGTTAAAGGCTTCCATTATAAGTAAGGGGGAGGGGGGTAGTAGTAAACTGATATTGACATGACAACTTACTGTTATATTGCATATTGATAATGACATCTATGCAATGATATTTCATAAATATTATAGTAACGCAAATTGTCATTTTAAAAAGGCATGTGTATAAAACATTTGTATGTTAGTGCTTTGTTGTAATGAAGTTTAAAGGAGTGTTATTCTTACATTGTTAAATGTTACATCGTTATTGCAGTATTGTGCCTCACTGAGTAAAATGATATAATCATTTTAGCCATGAGTGTTGGGCAGATATAAAGATGGCAGCACCAGCAGAATCCAATATTATATTTCTCTAAATCAGCATAGATTGATTACCAATTTACCATGCCATTTTTTTGTTAAAAATAATTACAATCCACCTCAGGCTGTCCTTTTAGCATTAGCTTTGTACACTCCCTTCAAAATTTGGCAATACTTCTCTATTGGACCACATGTTACATTCATTAGGGTTGTCAAACTTTTGGAGGGAGTGTACCCCTTTCTTATCTCAAAAGCTATAAATGTACCCAGACCAAGACATGAAAGAATGTACATTTATGTCAATTCAGTGCCATATTGAACAAGTATAAGATGAGATGTAGTATGAGGTGGGGTCTGTTTGGGGTTCTTTACTCTTTGTATGCACGAATGCAACTAACACCTGTTGGCTACTGGATTAACCTAGTATTTTATGACCAACTCATTAAATATTAATGGAATAGTGGCAGGTACTATTCATATTAAAATAAGTTACCCATAAAATACTAGGTTAATCCGGTAGCTGATAGGCGTTAGTTGCATTCGCGAATACAAGTTTAATCTTGCTTGATAGACCCCCCTCCTGTAGATATTGTATAATGTTCAATGTTTATATAATATAACTTAGCCTAACTGAGCTATGTAGGATAACATAGGATGAAATGCCAAAAAAAACTACTTTTTATGTCACCACCAAAAAGTGGTGACATATTGTTATAGTCTCCGTTTTTTGTGGCTGCGATTGGCGATCCGCAGTTGGCGTCTGTAACAAATTCTTAGAACTTACGATAACTTAACAAATACTTACTTTGCAAGTTTTGAGAAGCTCAAATTTGACTTTAGATTTTAGAATTGACCTTCGTTGACCTTCTCAATGTCAAAAAAGGTCAAAAAGGTATTTTTTTCAACTTGCTTCAAATTGACCAGTTTTTTCAAGTTAAGTCTGACTTAAGATTGAACAAATAATATTGTGAGCAACTAGTTGGTGAGATTTGTCATGTTAATGCCTTGTGTGTCTCTAATGGAGCCCCCATTTCTTGAGTTTGAGACTAACATTTGGTATGGCTAAACTGTATAATGAATGGCTACATTTTGAAATTAAAACTGAGAAGTGACATTTTGTTATGCACTGAGGATTCATTTCATTATGTTCAGAATTTAGCATTTTTAGCATTTTAGGCCTATTTGCCAAATGTATAACCATTTTTCTACCAGCGTGTTGTGTGTCGATTTATCTGGAGTCCATGGAAGAGGTGACCCAGAAAAGCCATTCAGATTTTTAGGTATCTGTATGCACTGAAGATTCATTTAATTCTGTTCAGAATTTAGCATTTTAATTTAAAGGCCTATTTGCCAAATGTATAAACATCACACATTTTTATACCAGCATGTTGTGTGTTAATATATCTGAAGTTAATGGAAGAGATGACCCAAAAAAGCCATTCAGATTTTTAGGTACGATATTCTTCACTGTGTGAATGATTTGATGTAAAAGCCTTAATAGAAACATAATTAGACTGAATCTCAAAATAGCACGGTGTATTGATTTGTTTTATTGGCATGAAAAGAGGAAATACCCTTCCCAGAATTCACAGACGAACTCCTCTCTATCCATCATTATATGGAGAAAAGTTATCTATGAATTCTGGGATACATCCCCCCTCTCTACACAAGATATTTGAAGTAATTTGTTGGCGTCCTCGACCTCGTTTACATATTGTTTTAATCAATTGGAAAGCCATTCTTTAATTCTTAATGGCACGAATGGATAATTTTACCAGATAGAATACCCATATTTTTGCTGATGTTTGGACCATCAAGAGGTGTTTTAGGAAATTTCTGATACTTTTTATTTTCAAACTGAATAAGAGAATGTATTATTGGTCTGTAAAAATGTTGCTCTTATAGTTTTAGTCAGATTGTTTGAGATAAAATTGTTTCCGATTTTAGTAAAAATGTAATATCAACAGATAAATAACAATGTTTCTTTAAAATGTTTTATTCATAAAATGTTATTTACGATATATCGAAAATGTACATAAGTAACGTACCTTAGAGTATTAATACAATATGTACAGTAACTTACAAGATTTATGTACAATAACTTAATGAGATGTATAATAAATGTGCATAATTGTTATGCAATATTATTTACAAACGAAATTAGTTATGAATTTACATGTAAATCGAAAACGAAAGTACATGTATTTGTACTTATAGTCTTTTCTCACACTAGCAAAGGGTTACATATTTTTCAGCATATAATATTGATATGGTAACGGCCCTAATAACATTGAATAATCTAAGGTTTCTGTTGCACACATCAATGAAATTAATTTTCCCAGTTTCAATGCATGTGCACGTGATCACTCGGCACAATTGTTTTGAAAGTACATGTACATATCAAATTTTCACCATCATTCATTCATTTTAAAATACTGATACCAAACGTTCAGAGCTGATAAATTAGATAAGACGTCAAAATGTTTTCACAGAATAAGAATAACGTATGTTCACCGTTTTCAGATTTTTAAGTAAAGCTTCGTTTAATCCTTTTTATGTCCCCACCACATAGTGAGGGGCCATATTGTCGGCCTAGGTGCGTCCGTCTGTCCGTACGTCCGGGAGTTTTCTCCAAAACCACAACAGATATCACCTTCAAATTTTCAGTGATAACTTATGAGTGCATACAGATGTGGATGAAAAAAATTTAACTCGATACCTACTTCCTCTCGGCCATTTTGAAGTCAAATGTTAAAATCCTTGTCTGAAAACTTAAAGAAAAACGGCTTCACAGTTGCTTTTATAACTTTAACATCTTGTTCAACTCACTTCATTATACATCTGATTAGGTTTTGGACCTGTTAGCTCAGTCATGTCAGCCATTTTGAATTGTCTTAAGAAAAGTTTAGCGCACGATATTACTTTGTATCGTATTGAATGGTGTTTTTGAGTTTTCATACTTTAACTATTTTGTAGCTTTATAAATAATTTCAGATGTACTTTGTTGTAAAAGCCTATGTTATTGTTAACAGTAGTTATATGTGATAATTTTGTAAAAAGAAATCAGCAAAAACTCATAATCACTTTATCATTGTCGGCCATTTTGGATTTTCCGTCCGAAAATCTTGTCTGTGAAGTCTTGTCTGCACGTTTTAAGGTGAACCGTATGGTGGATCAATTTCAAAATTTCAGGGATGATTCTTATTATAAAAATCTAAATCTGATTAGTTTTTTGGCATTCTGGGTAAATGTCAAGGCAGCCATTTTGGATTTTCCGTCCTAAAATCTTGTCTGTAAAGTCTTGTCTACGCATTTCCAGGTGAACCGTTCTGTAGATCAATTTCAAATTTTCAGGGATGATTCTTAGTATAAATGTCAAGGCAGCCATTTTGGATTTTCCGTCTAAAATCTTGCCTGTAAAGTCTTGTCTACGCGTTTTTAGGTGAGCCGTTTGGTAGATCAATTTCAAATTTTCAGGGATGATTCTTAGTATGAAAATCTACTTCTGATTAGTTTTTTGGATGGAAATCTAGAAACAGATTAGTTTTTTGGATGAAAATCTAGAAACAGATTCGTTTTTTGACATTCCGGGTAAATGTCAAGGCAGCAATTTTGGATTTTCCATCCTAAAATCTTGTCTGTAAAGTCTTGTTTACATGTTTTCTGGTTAACTGTGTGACGGATCAATTTCAAATGTTCAGGGGTGGTTCTTAGTATGAAAATATAGAACTGACTAATCTGGCATTCTGGGTAAATTTTCCCTCCTCAAATTGTGTCACAGTGGTAAAGTCTTGTCTACTCATTTTCAGGATAACCATTTGACGAGATAACCCATTGGTGGGGACATTTTGTACACATTTGTGTTCTTGTTTATACTGAAATGAAAAAAACTTAATGAACTGAAAAATTAAGTGTAACGCATAAAACTTTTAATAATCAGACGAAATAAAGTGGAACTTGTCAGTCGGCGTTCGTTGACTTACACTCCAAATGTTTGGCAACCCTAAACCGAAATCCCCGGTTGTCTAAAGTCATGAAAAAACACAACCTGCCATGCGAATTATCCGCAATGGGCAGTTTCAAATAGATGCAGAATTAAACATCTAATGAATACTAAAACCATCTGCTAATTGTTGGTAAAAAGAGGACAGTTACTTATCCTTTTTGAGAGAGGACAGAACGACCCTTGCCACTGACTGCTGCATCTGTTAAATAGAGAAATAATTATAACATGGCGTACGTCATACGTATCAGACTTGCCAACCTCCCGTTTTTTACGGGAATCTCCCGTAATTTTTTTGTTTTTCCGTAAAAAATACCAAACTCCCATACCGTTTTCTCCCGTAAAAACTCCCGTACCGTATTCATGATCAGGTATTTCTACTAAAATCTCCCGTAATTTAAAAAAAAATATAGCCGTAAAATCTCCCGTATTTTTGCTGAAATCTCCCGTATTCTGGTATAACTCCCGTTAAATCCCCCGTATTCTTGGTATAACTCCCGTAGAATCTCCCGTAATAGGGAGGTTAAGATTAGCGTCAAAATGTACGTATAGCTATCCCTATCCGTATGTTTGTAAGGGAAGTCAGTTGCAAACATACGGATAGGGATAGGTATACGTACAAAGGACGATTCTCGGTTTGGAGAACAGTCTCCTGGGCTAATAATTTTTTTCATGAAAAATATAGAAATATTACCCAAATTAAACTATGAATATTCAAAAGAGTACATTTAAATCTACAAGATGTAAAAATAACAAATTGGTCTGAAGCAGGGATAACGATCAATTAGACCGATTCAATAAAATACAAGTCTCGATTTGGGGAAAAAAGTTCATAAGTGTACTGCGCTAATATTTTTTTGCGAAAAATCTAGAAATATTACCCAAATTAAATTATGACCATTCAAAAGAAGACCTTCAACTCTATATTATGTAAAAAAATCAAATTTGTCCGAAGCAGGGATAATGCTCATTTATATTGATGAACTTCGTTCTCCAAACCGAGAATCGTCCTTTACGCTAATCTTAACCTCCCTATTCTTGGTATAACTCCCGTAAAATCTCCGTTTTTTGCTGTCGAAATCTACCGTATTTAAAAGGAATTTGACAAATTTGTGACCTTGATTATTGCAGGCACGCTTCTTTCTTTTACTCCAAGAAGGATTGGCTCCCATGGTTCACTATCGATACTTTTCATAAATAACTTAAAAGTACTTCATTCCCATGATTCAAATTGCTTTTCTGCGATCAGTTCGGTATAAGTTTGCACACCAAATGTCCACAAACGGGGGCCAGTTCATATTCTGTAATACTTCCGTCGGGAGAATACATTTTGTTTTTATATGGCGCTAAACAAAATGTTCCCGCAATATAAGGCGCATTATGGGTAGGGACTGCTGTGAAATAATGAGCGTAAGTGGCATCTATCTTAGATTATAAGTTCTAATGAATTTGTTAACTGCGCATGCGTCATAATAATT